TATCACAAAGTACATCTTTTTGTGGTTTTTGTCTCATTTAATGCATTGAGATTTTTTTTTCTTATATGTTGTATCTCAACTACATAGCCCTCCATATAATATATGTTCAGTAAATTCTCATGGCTTCAAATTGAAAGGGCAAAAGAACAAGAAGAAATTCTTAATTCTATTCAGAAAGAATTCAGTGTGAAAGCGATCACATAGTGTGCAATGCTAGCTTGCATTCTGATAACCCATTATTCTTTCAACGTTGTTGAGAAATTAACAGCACTTCACTCTTTCATTTTCATTGATTGAGATCATAGAAAAATCACTGAGGAGCTCCAAATGCTGGGCTTTGTGGATGATTATTATTCTAACTACAATAGCTATTCTCACATTTCTCTTATAAGAAGATTCTGCTCCAGGCCAAACTGTGAAGAAGGCCCAGTGTGCAGCAAGAAGCGTTGTTGGCCGTGCTTCCCTCTCCACAAGGAACTTTTATTTCCTTCCTCCAGTCAGCCTCTTGTTCCATGCTCCTTGCTAAGCCATGAGCCTCCTGAAAGCAGAGGTAAGCCTTAATCATGCCGGTAACACTAGGGTGCTTGGCACAGTGCCTGGCACACAAGAGGCACCAGGGACTGGCAGGTTTTATTCTTCTAAAGAACTGAAAGGAACTCAGGAGCTCTCGCTCCCCCACCTTCGTAGCTGGCATTATTAGTGTCTCCAGTACTGAAGCTCTCATACCCAGCAGCTTCATGCTGGGGTAGCTAGAGAATAGGAGGCCACCAGGGAAGGGCTCTTCTCTTTGCCCCTTTACCCCCATCTGACTTGAAAGCTTTCTCTTCTACCTAAATGCTGCCCATGCTGGTCTTCCCATGATTTATAGTTAATGAGCAGTGTTCTTTCTATCTTCTGAAAACAGTGTATTCTTCCCTTTCCACCTCTCCAAGCATCTCCTGACTGCCCACACATGACTCTTCATTTATCCAATAAAGATGTCCATGTGTATAAAGCCATAGGCCTTGCAAACCACAGGAAACTGCACGTGCTCATCCAAATTCTTATGACACAAAGATCAGTATAAACTCTCAACACTAAGACACTGTTGATTTAAAAATGGACCCTCAATTAGATGCACCCTTTCTGTAAGGGAAAGACAAAAGAATGAAGAAGAAAAAGAGGAGAAAATCCATTGTGTTATCATTATAAGCATGATAATTAATGTCTCTAGAGAGCAAACCATTGTCAAGTCGGCACTTTACTTGTATTAGACAATTTAATTTTCTCTTCTCTATTACACGATATAAAAACCAGCCACAAAATCAAAACAAAAAATCCTTCGATTTTCAATGTCCTCAAGCTTAAAGCATAAATAGAGAAAACCTCACATTCGAGTATTTGATGGAATGAAGGTGTGAACTGGGAAGGTTCAGATAGGCTCCAAGGTTTGTAACTTTAAACATTGAAGTTTATGTTTAATCAAATAAAAGATTCTCACAAAAACTGTGTACTTTGATGAATGTTCAGGAGAAATGCTTATAAAAGCACAGCTAAGATGAAAATATCAAACTCCATCAGCACCACACAAACCCTTCAACTGTCCTTAGCCATTAATCCTCTATCACCCAAAGTAATACCAAGGCTTTTACAAACGAGTAAGCCCAATAGTATAAATCATTATAAGAGTATATATATATTTGTGCCTGGATTTTGTGGTTCAATACTATTACACACACACATCTCCAAGTCTCTGTTGCACACCTACTTAGTGGTGAAATCAATGTGTTAGGCATCTATACAGCTAACATGAGTAGACACTACCTGACAGATTACCACAGTGGTCATGTTAATTGTTTTAGTTAGGGTTTCTATTGCTGTGAAGAGGCACCCTTACCATGACAACTCTTATAAAGGAAAACACATTTATTTGTGGTTACCTAAGAGTTTCAAAAATTTAGTCCATTATCATCATGGTGGGACACGGTAGTATGCAGGCAGACATGGTGCTGGAGAAGGAACTGAGAGTTAAGCACTTTGATCTTCAGGCAAGAGAAGGAGTCTGAGTGCTACACTGGGCATGGCTTGAACATAGGAGACCTCAAATCCTGTCTCCACTTCCTTCAATAAGGTCACACCTACTCCAACAAAGCCACACCTCCTAATAGGGCCACTAAATGGAGACATTTTCTTTCAAACCACCACACTAATTTATGCTCCTGTAATAAGCACATAAAACTTTAATCTGTTTCCTATAATGGCCATATTTTGTTAATATTAGTTTTATTAAATTTAACTAACACAGTGAGTCACAGCTTTTCTGACTGTGATAGTGAGAGGCCCCATACTTCTACTCAGATTTATCATGTTGGGATCCCAGTCCAAACCTGCGGTGCACCTTCAAGTCAGTCCTGCAGGCCTGCTGTAATGTGCCCCCTGTGGCTGCAGTTGCCACAGTCCTCATTTTCATCTCTTGGCTGTGATTTCATGTCAGCTATGATCTACTAGTTATTAATTTCTAACATATTACCTGACTGGGACTTATTAATTCTTAAAACACTCATGATATACTTGACATGGACAATGCCATGTCAAAAACGGTTTATTAATGTCACTTGGAAGAATCAACCAACTTAGTGAAAATCACTTCACATGGAAGACTATCATTTTTATCCACCCTTGCTAGGTAGAGACCAAAATGTGGTTTTATCACTTCCTGGTAAGAACCCAATCTGGCCTTTAAGATAGTTTTTTGTGTGCGTGCTTAACATTTATAAATAAAATGAAAAGAACAGCATAGATTTGTAAAATGATGATATAAAGATAAAAATGCAATTTTATCAGTAAGAATCTAGTACATAGAGTACCATCAGTGGGTATGAGCTATTGCATAAGGGTACCAGCAGTGGGTATGAGCTAGTATACATAGGGTACATTCAGTGGGTATGAGCTATTGTACATGGAGTACAATCAGTGGGTATGAGCTATTGTACATAGGGTATATTCAGTGGGTATGAGCTATTTAGTACATAGGGTACATTCAGTGGGTATGAGCTATTGTACATAGGGTACATTCAGTGGGTATGAGCTATTGTACATAGGGTACATTCAGTGGGTATGAGCTATATTGCACAAGGCTACCATCAGTGGGTATGAGCTAGTATACATAGAGTACCATCAGTGAGTATGAGCTAGTATACATAGTGTACCATCAGTGGGTATGAGCTATTGTACTAGGTTACTATTTGTGGGTATGAGTATTATTCTTTTACTTCATGAGGAAATCCCGCTATCTTCATTTTACAGACAAAGAAATGGAAACTTAGAAAATTTGACCTGGCTATATCTTATTTCTTACACATGGTAGAAATGACACCCTCACCGAGTCCTTGCAACCCCACACATGTGACCATTAGTGCATCTGACATGCATATCTTCACTAAAGTCCCAGGGCGCATATAGCTCTGCAGAGTGCCTTTCAAGGGATTTTAGCTGAGGTCATTCGAGCTCTTGAGAGTGGTTCTATTAGACGTACATTGTTACACTTTTGTGATAAGCAGTTCCCAGAGACTTTAGCAAACTTTTCTTGTTTCATCTGCTTCAAACCTATATTAAAACATGGAAATGATGGAAACCGTGATGAATCAGTTAGAATATACAGAAATATGCTTGTTCTTCAATTTTTAATGATTTTCCACTGCATTTTGTAAATGCTATTCACTTATTGTCCTAATTAATTTTTTAATTTCTTTAATATTTTAATTATGTGTACATATGTGTTGACATATGTGCATGAGTGCAGGTGCCTCTGAGTTCATAGAGGATGTTGAATCCTTTGAGCTTGTAATTACAGCTGTGAACCATCTTGGAACTGAACTTGGATCCTCTGGAAAAAGAGCAAACTTTCTTAACTGCTGAGTTATCCCTTCAGCATCAGTATTATATCATTTTTTTTTAAAAAAAGATAGCTGCTGTGAAAAATATTAATAGCCCAGAAAAACGTGTTAGTCTCATCCTTCCATGTGAAGTGTAGCAGACGCAGAGAGCTGCTCCTCAGGGAGTTCTCAGAAGAATATCCGTGCTGACATGTACATGTTGACAACATTTCCATTCGTAATGAATCTGTGACAATTGTTGAGTAGTAGGGTAATAGTCACAGGCAGTCATCAGGGCCAGGCTTTAATTTCAGTTCACTCATCAGTAAGTGGTGTGCAAGTCATTTGCATAATTAATACTAGAATCCACTTATGACAACATCATAGTTTCTAGAAGGTTTTCTTTAATCAAATTAGAGACAGAAATAACGCTTCACTAGAAAAATCCAGACTTGTACTAGGATCAGATCTAAGGCCCCTGACTTAATGAAATCAATAAACATTTAGTAGATGTCCAATATGTACTAGAAACTAGGGATTACAGAGCTAAGTAAATTGTTTTCTTTGACCTTGAGAAGTACGCCACATAACGGGACAGCATAATATATGAACCACTAATTAGAAGAAAGCAGAACAAGTCTACAAAGGAAGTTGGTTGTGAGGGTCAAGATATGAAAGTAGAGATTCAGTCACATTCATTTCATGAGTTAAGATCAAGATGCCTTGACACTTTGGGAATCAGATTTTGTGGATTTTCTAAATTTTATTCTCATAATAGAAAACAGCCCATCCTTCAAACTTTCATGACTTTCTATCATACAGCTAATTAACGATGGTTATATGATAAGCTCATTCATAATATATGTCACAGTGAGTGAGGTATAGCAGCATCTGATAGTTTTATTTCATTTTTTTTTAAATAAAATCACAGAAGGAGAGCAATGAGGGTAGCCAGGGTGGCACAACAACAGAAGATGTTTCTGGGACTTAGGAGCAGATGGATTTGACAACATTCTCTAATATACCAGGCCTCTATCAACACTCCTGAACTCTTTCCTTCCCAAGAAAGCCTGTGAAGCTGAAGCAGAAGAAATCCCACCACTCTAAGAAGTCCTCTATACAGTGTCTTAAAGATGACTTCCCTACCTGACATCTGCAGGATCTTCTGTGACGAGCACATCCGTCTTACAGGACGCCAGGGGGTTGATGGACAGCTCCACCGGTGGAACCACAAAGCTTTTGCTGACCGGAAGCCAGAGGCCTTGGCCCAAGCTGAAAGTAGACCTGCAATTTAAGAGTTTCCATTGGGGAACTCCCCGGGAAGCAAAGAGAAAAAAGAAAAAGTGGGCCCTCCTCCCGTCCCTAAGGGGCATTTTCTCATTTCCCCACCCAACCGAATGCTCTTTATTCCCCAAAGCATAGTGTTAGCAGATTTACTCATATTGAGATGCTTGTCTCTTAACGTTATTCATCATTTGGCCCTTGCATTGCTTTGTGTTGCTTGTTATCTTTGCATGAGTAATGAGCTGACACTGTGAAGACAAGAACTATTGTAGCTCTGCTTCCGTGCCCCATGCAGTCTTGATGCCCAGCAGGAGTTCCATAAGAAGTCCCAAGGAGCAGTCTGGCACAGAGGGTAAGAGCACGGAGTCTAAATCAATCCAAATCAGCATCTTATTCCCTGGCCTGCCACTTAATTCGCTGTGTGCCTTTATCTGCTTAAGCATTGGAGTTTTATACACAATTTCACAGAGGTTGCAGAGGTAATAGGAAGAGAGCAAGGTTATAGCATCTTTTTTAAGTGGGTAGACTGAAAAATCAGCAATGCCTCTTCTAGTTCAAGTACCCGAGTCTATATGTCCAGCAGCCAGACAAACAGGAACCAGATTCCCATAGCAACACGGGCCATGATGCTGCCTCAGTGCCAATGAGAGTTCTTTTATACCCAGTGAAGCTGAGGATCAACACTCTAAGACTGTACAAACACACATTCTGTCTAACCTTTCTCCTTTCCCTAGCATCATACCCCAATAAAACTGTCAACTCACCTGAGAATCTTTTCAGGGGCTTGTTCTCCTGTCACCAGATCATAGCCCCTCTCCAGTGTTGTGTAAGGCCAAGGTCTGAGGAAATACCGGAGGAAACAGAAGACAAGACATGGCATCAGTCCTAGGTAAGGCAGAGTCGTGCTCTTCAGTAATAGCGATATGAACAATCATTTTCCAGAGAAATAAATGCTAAACGTGACTTTCTACATTTTAAAGGAATGTTTTCACGTCACAGAAGGACTCAACACTTTTGTTAAACTCACTTGTCCATTTTTGCATTAACAACGAATAACCCAATTCCTCCTCAGCATACTTTATTATTTCCTGTTTGGGTTGATGAGTAAACAGTACTTGTTCTCTAGAAGCTTCCTCAGTCATGTGCCTCTAGTACTGAAGTGTGAGTCAGCCAGAAAATAGGTATATTTATTGGGCTGCCTGTGTGTGTAAAGTGTTTTATTTATACTTAAAATAATATTTTATTTGTTATTGAAGAATCTGATATAATGTACTTTGATAATATTCATCCAATCTCTACTCCCATCTCTCCAACCACCTAACTCCATGCTTTCTTTGTTTTCTTTTTTCAAATCCATCAAGTTCAATTTGTTTTATAAACTTGGGTATAGGACCTGCTCTGGAGAGTGATTGACCTACCAAGGGTCACACCTTTTAAGACAATTACCAAAAACTATCACAATGCAGCTATGTCCTCAGTTATTGGTTCATGCTCACTTCTCCTCACCCCCTACTGGGAATTTTGTCTTGCTTGAGCGTGCTCAGGTCTTGCGCAAGCTGTCATAATCGTTGCAAATTCATATGTGCATTTGTTCTGTTGTGGCTGGCAAACACCTTACACTTGGAGTCGTCCACTGGAGTCGTCCACTGCCTCTGGTTCTTACCAACTTTATAGCCGCTCTTCCAAAGCCTTTGGGAGAGGGCAGGTACAGATGTGCGATTTAGGGTTGAGCATTCTGCAGTCTTATTTGCTGCAGATTCTAGATTAGGAGGTAAATGAATGGGTGTGCGACTTCCCAGCCCTGAGGTCCCGTGTCACTCACCCTTCGCTTTGCCCCCAGTCACTGCGAATACACAGATGTCTGTGAACTGGGTCAGGGGCGTAACCTTCGTGACAACTGCACTCCCCTGTAATCAAAAGGAAACAAGCTTTGTGATACATTGCCTCTACACATATACTGTTCTTTTGGTTCTCTTGTTTTGCTGAAAGTTTTGGGAAAGACTTGTGAAAAAGGGAACCGTACTCCTTATCCCCTGACTACTGTGAGTGGAGCAGTTAATGTATCTGCTCATTTGTGTCTTCAACCACTCTCCTTCTGCCTACTACAGTTTGTACACATTTAGCCAAGCTCAGTCCTACACCAGAGACACAAAGGCAAAAGGTGTAACTCAGTAGTTGATGGGGCTCACAGTTTGAGAAGGAAAATAGGAAGCAGTTAGGTAGTGACAGAGAGCCTATTTTCTTAAAAAAAAAGTTTGCATTTCTATTTGACTATATATGTACATATAAATAAATGTTCATGTATTGCACAAGCATAATTAGAAAATTAAATGTCTTACCAGTGGAATGAGTCAGCCTTGCCCATCAACACATAAACCCTTGGTCCAACGCCAAATCCTTCAAGAAATTTTTGATTTCCTCTTTTGGAAAGGGTATTTTGCCTAAAGTTTAATCCTTTTTTGGTTCGTTCATTTCCTTTCGTTGCCTCTCCCCTGCTCTCTCCCTTTTAGTCTGGTTCTCTGCCCCTGTCCTGTTCTTTATCTGCTGCGTGCTTCCTTCCTTGAGTCTCTGTCCATTCTTCTGCCCCTTTGTTTTCTTCACTAGCCGTGTCTGTGTGAGGCTGCATGCATGCCTCCTAGCAGACCCCACTTTGAGTATCTCCTCCCATTGCCTGTGATGCTTTCAATATGCCTTGTCTATCATTTCCAAAGTTCAGAAATCTATAACAGTTTCAGAAGGTTCCTTATGATAACTTCTCGGCGTATTTCTGAAGGTGTGAACTTTTAAAGTTAAATTAGTTATTTTCCACCAAAGGTATACTTGTGAAATGTTGACATATGCTTCTTTAAAAATAGAGTCCATAAAAAGTAAATTTGGGGGATAAAGTGCTCTCAGTGGAGTGATTCTCCTTGGGGATGATACACATAACTTCCCCCAAACTTTATTTTGAGAAACCCGCATGGCTGGGGCTTGAGCTCAGTGGCAGAACACTTGCTTTAAGTTCCATCACCAGTGCTCACACTGAAGGAAGAAAGGAAGACAGGGCAGCCTGACCATGTACAGACCCACCATTCTGGCAAACACACCCACACCGGGGAAACGCCTTTAGAAGCTACATAGCTTAACCTGCTGCCTCGAAGAGAGTAAACCTCAGCCCTCAACAATATGAGCCCCCTGTATAACTAACCTTCAGCTTTATTTGGTCAGTTTCCTGGCTGTTGCTATTTGAGTGCCTTCATTTCCATCTTTTGGTAAATCACAGCAACTCCAGTTGGGCTGACTGAAACTGTTCATAGCATGATGAGGGATTTGCATTTAACATGGGAGATTTAAAGACTTTTTAATTTTGGCCTTTAATTTTTCTTGCACTTCATTTTGAATCTCTTTAAAAATTGAAAAGGAACATGATAGACACTTAGAAGTCACATTAGAGAGTTGAGGCCACTGATGAGAGTCCACATATCTACTAGGTGTTCAGATACACTTATTTCAAGCTGACCTCCAGAAAAACAAGGCCTCGTGTTATCTCTGCTTCATGAAGAGAATTATGAGTCTCAGAATCAATATACGAACAAATTTGAGCTGTTTGACAGAGGAATTGTGAATTCAATGTTCATTTTCTACATGCATTTACTTATTGTGTACATGCATACACATACATATGGGGGCTTTAAGTATGCCATGGTACACATGTAGAAGTCACAGAAAAATTGGAGGAATCAATCTGTTCTTTTGCTTTACTATAAGGGCTTGGGGTGTTAAAATCAGGTTATCTTGATTAGAGGTATCCATCTATACATACTATAAACCTTATGAATTAATGCTTTTTGTAAACAAAGCAAAGACCATATAAACAAGACCAGTTAGGAACAGCTTGTGAAACTATCCTCAGACTACTTGTTTTAAGACATTTCTATTTATCTAGTAAAGCTCCCCTTTTCAACAATGAACCATGAATGTTATACATCTGATCCTCCCTAAAGCAATCTGAGAGGAACGGATAAGCCTTTAACTCATTCTATGCATTCGAATGTGTATTAACCTTTGTGTGGCCAGCACTTTGCAAGTGTTTGACAAATAGCCAGGCTTCAGAAATATTGGTCAACATGATTGGGAGAAAAGGGTATATGGAGTCAGAGGATGGGTCAGAGGTAGAATCTGAAATACTGAGAAGATTGGTGAAAGGCAGGAGGAGAGACAGAAAGAGAAATCTACCTTTCCCCTCTCCTAAGCATTTGGTAAATCGTCATGGCGCCTTCTGGCAGGCAGTGATGCTTTCTGTAAGCCTTCCTCCAATACCATGCTTGGGGTGGTCCGCTGAGTGGGTGTGCTGTATGTATGTTCTAATGAACTGGTTCTTGCAGGAGGAAAGGAAAATTGACTCAAAAGGCTGAGAGCCTTGAATTTGGATAGTGATAATTTGCCAATGGGGGAGGGGCAGGACTTGCTAATGATGTGTTAAAATGCAACAGCCCCTTCATGAAATATTCACCACTTTAAACATGTCTAATATTAAAGATTAAAAGTCTTGGGATTTGTCCTCGAGACTCCCAGAACTGATTTATGATCTGCCAAAAGACACAGACCTCGTGATTCATAAAGGGAGAGGTAAAATGGCTACTCCTAGCAAACAGAAAGGAAGTCAGGCTCCAGTGAGCAATGAGAAAGCTGTTTTGGTTTCTGTCTAGCCTACCAGTGATTCTCCAGGAAAGGGCACTAACATCTACCCCTCCCATTTCTTTTTGGGAATACCTGTGACAGTGAGAAGTCTGCTCTCTGAAAGGGCACTGCTATATTTTTTCTCTTCCTTCCTTGTGTGCTTATTGAACAAGTTTTCCTTGACTCGGCTAGATCATTAATTACTGTCACTCGTTATACAACAAATATGTATTTTGCAAATGAGAAGCAGCCACCTTAGGGGCCCCATTCAGACTGCCTCGAGAGTAGGAAACAGGCAGAAAGAAGGCAGATCCCCTGGGTCTGGGATCAGTCAATTAGACAAGGTTTCAGTGCTCATTCTTTTCCTGTCTAGCTGTGTGACCAGGGAAGCAAGGGTTGTGAGACTCTGCTTTAGCTCCTTGGTCTCAGCTTTCTCATCTCTACACTGGGAATGAACTGACAGCGACGTGAGTATGTCAGAGAGCAGATGAAGGTAGTGAAGAGTAGAGGCCGCAGCTCAGGCCAACAGGAGTTGATGGTCAGTCATTGCCTTCCACCCCTTTAGTTTTAATTCTAAGATGGTCTCTGGTAATGACCACATTTTCTCTAGGGACACATGTGTTTTCTTGCATGGACATTAGTTTCTCCAACTACAAAGCTAATGGTTAGACTAAATATCCATCATTTCTAAACACCAAGGTTTAGCCATTTGTATTGCCTTTCCAAATTTCTAACCTCTGCTCTCCAGACAATTTATTTTGGCTTTGGCTGTGTTCACTCTTAGTGGTGGGCTCTCTGTCTCTGGCAACACCTCCATCAATGCCATGCCTATTGATTTTATTGACGCCTCTTTCTTATTTTGCTGATTCAGCAAATTCTCCTCTATTCGCAACTAAGCATTTCCTTCTTGTCAGATGAAAAGCCTTTGGCGCTGGATTTAAGGGTTATTAACCCCTTCCCAGAGAAAGTACTTTTCTCTACTCTGCCTCTACATGCCCATGCTGTTCAGAACAGCTCCACTGGGACACACGTTAGCATGTTAGCAGGCTGATTGTGAATGCTCGAGCGCCCTTACATCTGTCATCACTGTGAACTCTCCTTAAGAGGCATTGGTCATCTCCCTTGTTAGGGCTAGATCCCCGCTCCTAATACACGGGCTCCTCCATGGAAACATTTAGTAAATAAGTGCAAATAGTGAACAGATATAATTCACTGATAAAGGGAAAGTTACTGACTTACTGAATTAGTATTCATGGACAGAAGGAAGGAAGAAACAAAGGAGGGGAGGTAGTAGGAAAGACTAATGGAGGTAGAAATGCAGTACTCATGAATTGAAGCTGATTTTATTTAGAATAACGATGGAAGAACGGTGGCGGGAGCTGGGTGGCGGAATGCAACCTGCAGCTCCCCACAACAGAAGGTGTCACATATCAAAATTCTCTGTTTATTTTCCATCTTTGTCCTGGAATAACTCTCTAGACCAGGCTGTCCTTGAAATCTCAGAGATCCTCCTGTCTCTGCCTCCCAGGCATTGGGATTAAAGGTGTTTGCTACTACACCTTGAACTCACAGAGATCTGTTTGTCTCTGCCTTCTAGGCACTGGGATTAAAGGTGTGTGCTACCACACCTTGAAGTCACAGAGGTCAATCTCCGTCTGCCTTCCAAGTGTTGGGATTAAAGGTGTGTACTACCATACCCAACTATTCTCTTTCTCCACCCCCCCCTTTTTTTTTTTGTTTAAGCAGAAAAAGGGGAAATGATGGAAGAAGGTCTTTGGTTAAAAAATAAAGGAACTGCTTGGCCCTCATAGGTTAAAACATAGGTGGGAAGAGTAAACAGATCAGAATGCTGGGAGGTAGAGGAAGTGAGCTCAGAGGCCATGCTCCCCTCTCCTGGGCAGATGTGATGGATGAAGCTCCAACCCAGGATGGACGTAGGCTAGAATATTCCCAGTAAGCTCACCTAGGGGTGCTACACACATTTTAGAAATGGGATAGTCCAGGTGTGAGAGTTAGCCGAGAAGAGGCTAGATATAATGGACCAAGCAGTGTTTAAAAGAATACAGTGTCTATGTAATTATTTTGGGGCATAAGCTAGCAGGTGGCCGGGGTGCTGGGGACGTAGCCCCGCTGCTCCTATTACAACAGAAGAACCTTCCATCCACAACAGGTATTTTCCAGCAGATTAGTCATTGTGAGCATGAGCTGAGGAAATGTCTGAAATAGAACTCTATTACACACCAGAGCA